TCAATGGAATATCTTGTGCAGCTCTTGAGATGTGCACACCCCAGTTTGGAGCACATGCTCTGTGGAACACAAAAGTCAGCCAGAAAAAGAGAAGGGGGAAGAGAGAGTTGTAACTCACAACACAACGCAATGCATTCTCCAAAAGCCTGGTCCGCTGGGATGATCCATTGGCCAATAAGTTTAGGTTCCCTTCAGAAGCCAAAGTGTAAAACATTTCACAGCTTTGATGTTCTACTTTGCTAAGGCTGGAAAAAACAGAACTTAAATCATTTAAGATGCAAGAAAAAAAATGATTTGTTACACCCTCTCCCCCTAGCTAGATTTTGAATAAATGTGTAAATATTTCATATCATGTCTTGAAAATTATTGTTGCTCCTGGGACTCATCTTTTGGACAGTTGGGGAAAGTTAAAATTGCTAGAACCAAAAAAAAAAAGCCACAAGAAAAGCTTTAAAAGCTGGCTTGAAGGGGGCAAAAAAAGTCATCAAACTTTGCTTCTGCTGCAAAGTGCACTCCAGAATTACTCACGGGAAAAAAAGCAGAACATCTGCTGGATAGCTGCTGAGGTTTGCTGTCAGGTTGCTTTTATTGAGAAGTCTGGCCATGCAGGAGAGCTGATGGGAAGAAAATAAGACATTGCTCTCACAATAAGCAAAAAAAGAATTGTATGTTTATCACTGCAGGTAGATAAACTTTCCAACCAAGTGGCCACCTGCATGGTTGTGCTTCAGCCCATCTAATCTCCATCAGCATGATCAAAATCCAGGTGGGCAGACAGAAGGTGTCTCTTTCTAACTTGAATCTGGATTTGACCTGAACCTGGTCCAAGGGATCTCCTCACCTGTTCTTCACTCAAGTTGGCCTTTTTACTTCTCACTTCTTGGGCTAAGGAGGAGAGCTGCCCAGGCATCAGTTTACTTGCTGCATCACACTGAAAGCCTTGCAAGATGAATGGAGAAAGCCTGAAAGCCACACAGATACACTGGTTGGTCAGTTAATCATGTCTTAGAGGATAATTATACCAGATTTCAATAAATCAAGGAAGCCTTTTTCTCTCACAAAAGAAAAAATCAGATATGACTGGGGGGGGGGCTGTCAAAAAAGCAAAGATAGCAGCCAAGACGCAACAGTATCATCAAAATCCTGTCTCTGTTACAGAGGTGTTGTAAATGATGCATAAGCTGCTGAGAGTCATTTGGCTATAGAAATGGGTAGCTATAGAAATAAAACAAATATATAAAATTTTAAGAGGGGCACAAATTTGATCACAGTCACAACTATCATCTTGACTTTTTTGACCCTCTTAGTAGAAGCTCATGTTAGATATCTCAGGAACAAGTAGTCCTTGCATTACGACCACTGGTTTAATGACTGCTTGCCTAACAACCACAACAAAGAAGGTTCTAAGAGTGGGCATTACTTTACTACCAGACTGCTTAGCAATGGAAGTTCTGGTCCCAACTGTGGTCGTAAGTTGAGGGCTACTTGTAGACGGAAGCTCAATCTGAAATGTTGAAAGCTTGATAGGTTTCCCCAGAACGTAACACATGCTTGCCAGTTTGAAAAATAAAATTACCGATGCATGTGCAACATGGTCAACCCATTTCCGCATTTTCAGAATACACTAAATCATAAACTAACCAAACAGTAATTTAAGCTCAAAGATACACACCCTAGGTATGTTGTGAAGAAGCAAATTGGTTAAGCATGATTGTGTCAACATTCCCCATACAGTATACAATTGAAATATCTTGTACTATTTGAAGGGATAAATAGACAAATAAATATCATCTCTGGCTGCTCTATCTTGTTTTTCTCCTTCTTACCACAAGATCCTCGCTTACTCTACTATTAGGGGCCCAGAACTCACATTGTGTAGTTATCAATCCTGGTGAAGATATCTCCAAACATGACTGCTGCCTGGAATGAGAAAAGCACATTAAAAGCAAGAAATGCAGGAGTCTGCCCTGGTTCAGCCAGCAAATGTGTCCAGAGCCCTACCTGTTGTGGAGACCACGATTTCTCGTTGATTTTGTGGAGATCTGGAGTTTGGCCTCCAAATACCAGCAGTGAATTGGGAACAAATTCGATTAAGTCATCTGGAACATTATTTAAGATGTCACCAAGAGAGGAGGAGTTTGAGAGGATCTGCAAATGTCCCAAAGAAAGTCAGTCACACTGCTCTAACCAGCAGGTTTTAAAAGGTGCATGCAAGCAGAATATCTGTTTAAAAGTGGGGGACCAAACTCCAGAAAATTAGTGGAGGGAAGGTTAATGAATGGAGAAGAAACAGAGAAGAGAATGAGGAAGAGAAGAGAAAGCAACGAGGAGCCAATTCTGCATAGCTAGACCCTTTCTGCACAGGGTCATAATCCCCAATGACCTTGTGGGAAGGACTTATGAATCATAGGATTGGATGGGATCTTGGAGGTCTTCTAATCCAACCCCCTGCTCAGGGCAGAAGTCTTTATATCATCCTGGACAAATGACTGTCCTATCTTTTTTTGAAAGCCTCCAGCGATGGAGCACTCACAACTCCAGGAGGCAAGCAGTTCCATTGATTAATTGTTCTCACTGTCAAGAAATTAATTCCAGGTTGAATCACCCTCTGACAAGCTTCCACCCATTGCTTCTTGCCCTACCCTCAGGTGCTATGGAGAATAAATCGATGCTCTCTTCCCTGTGACAGCCCTTCAAGTATTAGAAGACAGTTATCCTGTCACCCCTAACCCTTGTTATTGTTCTCTGAACTCTTTCTAGGGTCTCAGCATCTTTCTTGTGTTGTGGTTACCAGAACTGGACACAGTATTCCAAGTGCAGTATAAAGCACTATTACCACTTCCCATGATCTTGATGCTATTCCTGTTGATGCAGCCTTTGGCAGCTACAGTAGATTGTTGACTCACACTTAAGCTGTGATCCACAGAGACTTGGATCTCTCTCACCATTACTACTGCAGAGCCAAGTACTACCCATTCTATACCTGTGCATTTGATTTTTCCTGCCTAAGTGCAGGACCTTCCTTTCCTAACCACTGAACTGCCTCTTGTTGGATAGGGCCGAATGTTCAAGTCTGTCAAGATCCTTTTGAATCTTGAGTCTATCTTCTAAAGTGTTGGCAATTCTCCCAAGCTTGGTGTCATCTACAACTTTAATAAGTTCCCCTTCTATTCTCTCATCTACATCATTTATGAAGATATTGAAAAGAACTGGGCCTAAACAGAACCTTGAGGTACCCCACTGCATGCTTTCCTCCATGTAGATGTAGTTCCACTGAATGCAGTTGGTCAGCCTGTTACGAATCCATCTTGTGGTGAAGCTGTCTATCGTACATTGTTTCATCTTACCATGAAGTAGGTTGTGGTCTACTTTGTCAAATGCATTACTCAATACTTTTGTATGCTTATTTACAATTAAGGACTTTTATTACTCAGAGGTTGCTTTTGGGAGAGCAAAATAAATAAGAAACGTAATGACAATTTTCAATATTTATTCTTAATCCAGGTGGAAGGTGGGGAAGCTATAGGGCTGTAAATCTCTACACACCACTGTATCTTTCTTCAGCAGCAGCTGACAGAAGAAAAAAGAAGCAGCAGCAAGACTGGGCAAATTTGTCTCTGAAATAACTACAGCAAGGCAGGGGCCAAAGTGTGTGTGTGGGGGGGGGGGGCTTTTATTGTTGATCTCCAACCATTGCTTCAGAGCTAACTGCCAGGGAGACTTTCCTACACAGAGCAAGGATTGGGCTGCAAAGACCTTCCAACTCTCACATTCTTTGATTTACAGCAGATGCAGCTTGTTGAAACTTGTCTATTTATTCATTTATCTAGCAATCCTAAAGAGACCTACCCCTTTTCCAATATTTCTCATAGTCACTTTCCCCCTCTTACCTTACTGACAAAGGCCTTCTTCACATGATCAGAACTTTTTCTGAAAGCTCTCTGGAAGCTCACATTCTTGGCCAGCTTAACCACGAAACTGGCTGCCATGGTGTCAAAACTGTTACCCGGCAAGCCTTCTGCCAGAGTACCGAGATGCTCAAATTTCTCAACTGTGTCTAGCTGCAGGAAGAATGAGGCAGATGGTCAAGGCATAAATCTGGCAGGATTTGCCTAGATTTGGGGGTGGAAGTTAAATGCCCTCTATTGCTATCAAGCACCCTACCCAACCTCTTCCCTCTTCCTCTGATCCCCTTTGCCCACTGTCCTGAAAGAGGAGGAAATTCCAAGAGAAGAGAGATTGAGGCTAATTGTTTCCCTTGCTACTTTGCCTCTTCCATAATGCTCTTTCTCTGGTTGGGGAGAGGAGAAGCCCTGCCTGTTTGGTTAGCAGGGCTTCTCCTCTCCCCAACCAGAGAAACAGACACCCATCCGTTTTCAGTGGAAATCTATTGGGAAAGAAGATTGTGGACAAGTGGGGAATTACCTTTCCACATCCATCCTTTGTCTCATTACACAAAACGGGCACACATTTCAGAAGATGACCATGTCACTTCTCTCACTCTCTTGCTTTCTTCTTTATCTCTTCTTTCATGTGGTGATATTGTGAACTGGGAACCAGCAGAAGCCTCTTTTTGCCAATTCAACTATCCCAGAGACATTTCCCTACATTTTTTTTTCTTTCCCAGCATTAAAAAATTACGTTTGAAGCTCCACTTGCCAACTGAAACCATTGTAGAGAAGATCTATTCAGATCTTAGTGTCACTTTTGGCAGATACGCTTTTGTAAGCCTCAATGGTACATACAAAACAGGGTGCAAGGCTCTACGGGTAAATTTAAAATTCGAGATGGTGACTATGACTGCAATTTTGACTTTTTAAAACTTCCCTGTGGGTGCCCTGGCAGGGCAGGCATTAATGGGAGAGTGAGGGTGATAGCAGACAAGAAACTATTCCAGAGACAGGAGGGGAAAACATGGTTGAGGCCTGCTTCCTAATTTGCATATGTGTAGTGAGCTGGCATTCTCTCTCCATTTGGTGACACTCATTGATATTACCAGATCAGAAATGGGAAGTCACAAGATTTACCTTGTAATTGAGGAGAATCTTGTTTACCAGAATCTGGAATTGTCCTCTGTTCCAGCCCTTGACTTGCCCGAGTGATTCCAGAACCTTGTGATCTGTCAGGTCTTCTGCTGTTAGATCTGACATCTGACCAGTGGTGAGTCCCACTGCTTGTTGCCCCAAAGCTATTAAGGTCTGTTTATCAAATGTCTTGACTTGAGCCACAAGCATATAAGCAAGCTGGAAAAGAGAATAAGATAGAAATTATTTAAAGTTGAGATATGTGGAATACAAAATTGACTTGGAAAAAATTCCATGACAACATTTGATTTGTTTGTGTATATTTGTTTGTTGAAAAGCCCTGTCCTTGATCCTGTAAGGACCCACCCCACTTTGCATCTTAAGAAGACAGAATTCTTGGAATAATTCTTCCAACAGGCATCCTTTATTAAGAGAAAATGGTTGCAGGCGTTCTAGACAGGACTTGGGGTACAAGCTCTCCCATTCAAGGTTTTAAGGGGTTCCCCAGTAGTCCCACCCAATCACCCCCTTCTTCCAGCGACAGTCTCAGGCATTACACTCCCACCCCCTTTTCCTTACTGCCAGCTGGATGGAGACTTCAGAGAGAATTACATGAAGGTAATAGCCCCATTGTTATGGTTAGTCCTTTTGGTGATATACACATCCAGTTCCTTTGAAGTGTACTGAAGGAAGTGAGGGCCGTAAAACCCCTTTGTTCACCCCCTTCCCTTCATCGTATGACAGAATCCAGAGAAGGCAGAAATGGGGTTTTCTATAGTTGATAACTAGAGATGAAATATAATTGGATTCTGACATCCTGCCCCCTTAAAAAAAAGACAGATCCACCTGAAAGAAAACAAAACAGGTATAAAAGTTGGTCAGGCTTGTTAGGATACTCTGTGTGAAACTTCTTTAATAACTTCGGGGCTCTGACATGACGTTTATGGACCCATTTGTTTTGTGAGGCAGGGAGGTGTTTCCAGGCAACTAGGTACTGAGTCACTCCATGATATCTCCTAGAGTCAAGGATTTCCTTTATTTCGAAGTGTTATTCGCCCTCCACCATGATTGGAGGTGGGGGGGGGGGATTTTTGGCCGTAAAGGTAACTGATGCTCTCTTTTCAGCAAGCTGCAATGAAAAATTGGGTGCCTGAGATTTTGGGGTAATTCTAATTCTACTGTTACTGGGTTTATGATTCTTTTAATTGGAAAAGGTCCTGTATATTATGGTCCAAGTTTTTTAGGGACTTTAGGAATTTTGTAGATAAGTACACCATTTCTCCTATAATGTATGGTGTAGGCTCAACCCTTTTTTTATCGGCTTGTGCTTTGTATGCCTGCCTAGCTTCATCTAGTGCTTTTCTAACTATTGGCCAGGTGTCTTATAATTGTTCCATCCATTCTTTCAGTGATGGGATTGTTGGTTCGTTTGGGGTTAATTCTGGCATGGGGTTGAAACTTTGACCATTGGCTATTTGAAAAGGAGTGTAACCTGTGCTGGACTGGACTGCATTATTGTAGGCAACTTCTGCAAAAGGGAGTAAGTCCGCCCACCCGGTCTGTTGGAAATTAAGAAAACATCTTAGATATTGCTCGAGTACTGAATGACAACGTTCTGTTTTCAGCCCCCCCTCCCATTCCCTTGTGGGTGGTGGCTACATGTCAGTCCTTGAGTGGTTCGTAAAAGGGATAAAAATTCCTTCCAAAATGCAGACGTAAATTGCACTCCCCTATCAGAGATGATGCGTTGGGGTGCCCCATGCAATCTGTAAATGTGCTGGATGAAAAGTTTCGCTAAGGCTTTTGTGGTGGGAATCTTTTGGCAAGGGATAAAATGCACCTGTTTGGAAAACAAGTCCGTGACCGTCCAGACAACCATATTCCCATTGCTTTCTGGCAATTCCACTATAAAATCCATGGCTATTTCCCTCCAGGGGGCTGAGGGATTTGCCACTGGTTGTAATAGTCCTGGAGATTTCCCTTGCAACCTCTTTGCAGTCGCACATTTTGGGCAGTTGGCTACATAACTTTCTATGTCCTTTTTTATTGATGGCCACCAAAATTGCCATTTAATTAAGTGTAAACTTTTTACAAATCCAAAATGCCCTGATGATTTCGTGTCATGGCAAAGCTGCATGAATGTGACTCTTTGGGTTGTTGGTATATATAACTTTTCCCCTACCCAAGGCAACCCGTCTCTCATTGTGCACACATTTTTTCCAAACTTTTTCTCAATTCAATTCCAGTTTGGCTGTCCAGTTGTGGTTTTAATTTAGCTTGAGTTCTTGTGGTTACTGGTGCTGCCAGTTGTGACTCTGCAATTATTGGTTTAGAGTCTGTGGTTCGTGCGCTGTTATATTGGGGCATGTGAGTTCTTTCTCCCTGGTAAATGTTTGAGCTTAAATTGGAACTGGTGAAAATGCTGGGACCAGCGGGCTTGTTTGGGATTGAGTTTCCTGGGCGCTTTCAGGGCTTCCAAATTTTTGTGATCAGTCCACACCTGGAAGGGGATTTTGTTGCCTTCCAGGAACTGTCGCCACATGAGTAATGCCCAATGTATCCCGTATGCCTCCTTCTCCCATACAGGCCAACGCTGTTCTGTTTCCGTGAGTTTCTTGGATGTATATGCACAGGATTGCAATACTCCATCATTGTTTTCTTGTAATAGAACAGCCCCCACTGCCACATCACTTGCATCTGCCTGTATTACGAAGGGCTTATCCATGTCTGGGTGCCTTAGTACTAGATCGGCAAAAAAAAGTCTCTTTAGTCTCTCAAACCAAAAAAAAATCTCTTTAGTCTCTCAAACGCTGCTTAGCACTCCATTGTCCATGTTAGTGGCTGGCTAGGTTTTACTGAGGATGCTCCCTTCGTTTTTAGTAAGTTAGTGAGGGGCAAGGCTATCTGGGCAAATGAGGGGATGAATTGGCGGTAAAAATTTGCAAAGCCCAGGAAACTTTGTAGTTGCTTTCTTGTGCGGGGTGGTGCCCAATCTAATACTCCTCTGACCTACTCAGGGTCCATTTCAATGCCCTGGGGGGATATGTGATAACCTAGGTAGTCTATCCTTTCCTGGAGGAATTCACATTTTGAGAGTTTGGCATATAGGTGGGCAGCTCGCAGCTTTTTTCAAACCGCTCTGACAAGGTTGACATGTTCCTCTTTTGTTTCGGTGAAGATAAGAATGTCGTCCAAGTAAACAAGGACCCCCTTAAACAGGTGCTCCCTTACAATGTCATTGATTAATTGCATAAAGACTGCAGGGCCCCCTTGTAATCCAAATGGCAAGACTTTGAATTGATAGCACCCCATGGGGCAGTTAAATGCGGTCTCCCATTTGTCCCCTTCCTTAATTCTCACACAATAGTAAGCTTCCCTTAGGTCTAGTTTAGAAAATGTTTTCCCTTTCGAGAGGTGTGACAGCATGTCTTTCATGAGGGGCAGAGGGTATAGGTTGCTTTCACTGATTGTATTCAGGGCCCTATAATCGACGCATAAGCGTAAAGAGCCATCCTTCTTCTCTCTAAAGAGGACCGGGGCAGCCACTTTAGGCTTGGCTGGCTCAATGCACCATCTCTCTAGATTTTTTTTTATGAATCTTTCCATTTCCTCCTTCTCCTTTGGGCTCATGGAGTATAATCTGGGCTTCGGGAGTTTTGCCCAGGCTTGAATTCAATGGCACAGTCTGTGGGTCAGTGGGGGGGGAGCTCATCCGCCCTCTCCTCACTGAAAACCTCAGCAAGGTCTCTGTATTCCTCTGGTATTTCTGTTCGTCCCTTTTCCTCTCCCATGGATGCTTTTTCTATTCTTGATTCTGGTAGCCCCCCTTGGGGTTTTAAGTCCATAGGGTCCCCCTTTGGGAATTTGATTTCTGTCATCCTCCAATTTACCCAGGGGTTCCATTTTTTTAACCATTCCATCCCTAGGATCATTGGGCATTCCATGCCTGGGGTCACCACAAATGTTATATCTTCCTTATGTTTGCCCAGGGAGAGGTGTATTGGTAGAGTGGCTAGGGTAACTGGCACCCCCCCTGCTATGGATCCATCTAACTGGCCAAATGAGATTGGTTGTTCCAGTCTCCTCGACGGAATGCCCAGATTCCCCACTAGTGTCGGGCTAATGAGGCAGCAGGTGCAGCCAGAGTCTATTAAGGCTTTCACCTTCACGGCTTCGGGCATGGGGGGAATTAATATAGTCACTGTCTTGAGGATGGGTGCGATGTGTCCACTTACCAGGGGTTCGCCCTCCGAGCTGTCATCTGAGGCGTCCACCGGCCCTGCAGTGTAGGCTGGAGTTCTTTCCCCCTGATGAGCAGAAGTGGGGGGTTCTGCAATTTCCATCATTCTCATGGCAGTTTCTTTTGGCTTAGCTGAAGACTTTCCGGATTTGCTGATTGGGGATCTGTCTGGGTTGTGCTGGGGGGCTTTGGAGCGGCATTCTACAGCTCGATGCCCTTCTCTTACAAACTTGAAACACCCCATTTGCTTCTTGGCTGTAGCCAATGGTTTCACTGGTTTGTGTCTCAACTCAGGCGGGGAGCAGCTCCATTGTTTTCCTTGGCGGTGTCTCTTCAATATGTCGATCTCTGCTTCCTCTGCCAAGACGTACCATTCCTCAAGTTGGTGTGGCTCCCCTCGGGGCAGGCAAGCATCATATAGGTCATAATTTAGTCCATCTTTGAAATGGCCAAGGAGGATGTCTTCTGGCCAATTCAGTTTGCTGGCAATGGCCCGGAATTCTTATGTATATTCAGCCACTGGGCATTTGCCTTGCCTCATCGTTTTTATCCTTTCGCAGGCTTTGCGATCAGTCAGGGGAGTCTTCAAATCGCGTTCTCAGAGAGGACATGAAACGGTTGAAGTCGTTGAATTCTGGGGCATTGGAGTCGTGCACGTTCAACACCCAATCTGCAGCCGGTCCATCCAGGGCAGATTGCACGATCCGGATGCGGGCTTTGTCGCTGGGGATGTCTGAGGACTTGGGTTAGGAAAAACCCCAAGCGTGTTGGGTCCCCTTTGAATTTCATCTCCAACGGTGGATGTTTTGGAATGGATTGGTGCCTCCATTGTTGGTGGTAGTGTCTTCCGTCCAGATCGCCATCTGTGGTTCGGTAGGGGGTGGGGACTACTGGATCAGCAGATGTCCCTGGGGCTGAAGGTTCCACGTCCCCCTCGGTGTCTCTCCCTTTGCAACTCCAGGAACTGGGGCGGCCGTAGGGCTCAGGATTCTCCTCTCTTAGGGAGCTGAGAGTTCTCTTCATCAGGTCAATAGCTTTCTCTAAGATCCAGTCTGAGTACGGTGCTCAGCTTTCTCCCTCTTCACTTGTGTGCAGGGATTTCTCCATCTCCTGCTTCCATTCTGGTTGCTTGCCCCCCCCCCCCCCGTCTCAGGGTCACCTTTCTTGATTCCTTTCCCCACTCGCTTTTCTTTCCAATGCCCATTGACCAGCGAGGCTTGTGGTCCCGTGTCTCCACCACTTCTTTTCCTGAGCAATCTGACCTCTTGGATCCCGACATCTGGCAAGGTTCCAGTCGGGGCAGCAGCTCTCTTTCCGGGGAGTTTTCCCCCTTTATTGCTCCATTGTCTGACATGGTAATTTTTTGCAAAATCCCCTGGCAAGGGTCTCCCTTCCAGGTGGATTAATTTTGCGAGTCCTGTCTAATGTAAAGACCCACCCCACTTTGCATCTTAAGAAGACAGAACTCTTGGAATAATTCTTCCAACAGGCATCCTTTATTAAGAGATGGTTGCAGGTGTTCTAGACAGGACTTGGGGTCCAAGCTCTCCCATTCAAGGTTTTAAGGGGTTCCCCAGTAGCCCCACCCAATCACCCCCTTCTTCCAGCGACAGTCTCAGGCATTACACTCCCACCCCCTTTTCCTTACTGCCAGCTGGATGGAGACTTCAGAGAGAATTACATGAAGGTAATAGCCCCATTGTTATGGTTAGTCCTTTTGGTGATATACACATCCAGTTCCTTTGAAGTGTACCGAAGGAAGTGAGGGCCATAAAGCCCCTTTGTTCACCCCCTTCCCTTCATCGTATGACAGAATCCAGAGAAGGCAGAAATGGGGTTTTCTATAGTTGATAACTAGAGATGAAATATAATTGGATTCTGACAGAGCCTTAGAAACTTCAGTTCAATTTCTAAGTCACCATTTAATTCTGATTTTGACTTTGCTTCTCAGGCCAAGGAATGGGAGGGCAAATGGTCTCCTTTAAGAGCTTTACTTACTATCTTATTATGATATGACATTTTCTGAGCATTAACAGGCCTAGAGTTCCACATAGTTTCCTCTTAAGCACAACACAAGATACCCAGGGAGTCACTTTTGTATGATATATCCTCCTGATATGTATTGTTTGACTGTGATGGAATTTATGTGCCCCCCCATCTCATCCAGAGACATTGCCTTGGTCTCAATCCTAGTCCACAACTGAGGAAGCAGAATGTTGTCTTGACCTGCTCTAGATTTTAAACAGGTTTCCCTTTTCTCTCAATACAATTTTTGTCATGGATAAGCACATCAATGATGTCGTTGACAGTGTGGAGAGGGATCAAGTTCTGCACCATTCCTATTGGCTGCCTGGGAGCTGTAGCCACACCCTCTCCCCTCCAGTCTTGGCCAATGTCTCTAGGTATTTCTGATTTTGGCAGAGTCCAATTCTTTTAAATTGGTCTTTGTTCCTCTTTCAACAGAGTCCAAACCAATCCCCAACTAAGAGACAGACCAAACAGCAGCTGATTACTAGCAGCAGGACAGGGTTCGGGGGGGGGGGAGACCCGCAGAACAAAGGGTGAGAGATGGTTATAATGGTGATGAATATATGGCTGACGATTGGCAAGTTGCATTGTTGGAATTGGTTTCTGAATAAGAAAACATCTGTACATCAAAACCAAAGAACCCATGCATGCAACACAGATAGTTCTCTCTGTTGTCCCGGGCTACAGTCCCCACCCTCTGTGCCTGTGGCACACAAATGTGAAAAATGCTATTTATACTTACTTCCCAGGCCTCTGCTTGTAGGAGAATCCCATCCTTGACAAGCGTTTGTCCATTTACCCACCAGGTTTCCAATCAGCTCCGTGGGATCACCATAAAGGACCATCAGCCACTTCTCCCTACTTCTACATTCTCTCTTACTTTATCCAGCAGCTTCTGCCATCTTTTACATCAAAGGCAGGAGGGGCGAAAGATGCACCTTCTCAGTACATTTCCCATAATACCAATTTGATTCCATCATTGTGGAATAACTCTACATTAGCATATAAGGGAAGTTTCTCTGTCCTAGTCTCTGGTGAACCACAACAATGTCCAACTGAGAATAGAATAGAAGAGTGACCTCCCACCAGAAAAAATATTGGGTTTTCAAAGAGCATGAAAAAGAAAGCCAATTGGCTTATTTAGATTGCATATTTAACCAAAAAACAAATACTATTAAACTGTACCATGTTCTTTGATTTAGACTTTATGGAAAAGATACCTGGGAAGGCTGGCTGTCCCAGTTTGCTTTTACCTCCCAATCCCAGCGGTGCCCATAAACCTCCCTTCAGGAATAAGCTTCGATGTGTATCATGAATTTAGGATTATCATTTTCTGAGCAACCCTTGTCATAGGATGTGTAAATATAAAAGCTGAGCGAGTTCACCTGACGGTCAGAAGCAGACGGTTTGGAAGAGCTGCAATGGTGATTGACCCGGGCAATGAAGCTCAAGGCCTCTGCTGGGCTCAGACTGGAGATCAAGGTTGAATGTTGCGCAAAACAAATGAGTTGATCTGGAAGGCTGAGAAGAAAGCAAAGCCCAATAGCAGCTTCAGATTTATCTTAAATTCATATCCTTTGCATATCCTTTGGTTTGGGTTAATTCTAGGAAGCTGCTGTGAATCTCTTGAATGGATGCTCTGCTATAGCTACCGCTTGATGTACATATCCTATTTTTCATGGATGCCTTTGATGGTGGCTTTATGGTGATGCATTCACTTGGAAGGAGGGTACTCATAGCAAAAGGCCCTGTTCACCTAAACCTAATGGTCCTCCATCCAAGTATTGATCATATATGAGCCTGCTTAGCTTTTTTCAGGCTCAAGCAAGATTAATTAACTAGTGTTGCTGCTAATGCACAAGTTACAATTTGCTTCATATAATAGCTGTTTCAGGCTGCTGAGAGACCAACAAAGAGAGCTAAAACATATAGGGCCAGATTGGACCCCCAACTCTGTTTCCCCACCCCATTCTATACATTCACTCTACAGAATTGGAAATTTCTATTTCCACAAAATGGAATTATGCAGATTTTCTTGTCATGTGGAGAGAATTTCACAGATGTATTTTTCAACTATCAGCACTCAAATACTTTTCTCTGAATTTCTGCTCTTACATGTTATCTGGAGGAGCAGTTTCATCAATTCTGAGTCTTATTTATACCTGCAAAATGTTTGCTTATCCACCAAGGCCCTTTCCCCTAAATGTTATAGTTATTGGGGATATAATTAAAATATCTTAATCGCACCAAAAAGACATTTCCACTCACCTGTCAAGATTGAAATCTGAGTCAAGGGTAAATAATGCTGTAGCATACATTTCTGCCAAATCCTTACGGATTTTATTTCTGTTGATCAGCTCCAGGTTGTCTCGGTTAAAAGCAAGATCTTGAAACTAAGAAAATAAAAATCTCTGTAATAACTTTCCAGTATGGGAGGGACCATCCAGCAAATTTTATATATTTAAATGGATCACAAATTTAATCTGAGGGTCCCAGGTATCTCCAATAGTTTCTATTGGTCTTGTACAATCAGGCAGATGAATATTCTCCAGTTCCCTTTGATTAAAACAAGGCTACCTATCAGTAGCCAGGAAGCCTGATTTCTCTGACACACACCTGCTCTGGGAAACAGCATCCTCCAAAGATCCATATGTTTCCCACCCTGATTATCTTGGGAATCTTTAAAAAGCTGGCTGTTTTCTCTGGCTCTCTCCTTGGACTGGGGGGGGGGGTCCAAACCCCTGTAGAATTTTTTCAGATAAATCATGTGATGGTGAAATGCTATAAGCAAACTGATTTTGTATCTCCTCAGTTTTTTCCCCCATGCCATCATTCAGCTGAACACCTAACCTTCACGGTACTATCTTAGGTTTAGGTATGTTGATCCTTGTTGTAAAGCTGTTATATTATTATTCTCCTTTTCGTCTTCTGTACTACCCCCTCTTATTGTTATTGTTACTGTTACCATTATTATTACTCTGTTGCTTCACATGTTCATTGAGAGCTTCTGCACCAGAGACAAATTCCTTGTGTGCCTAATCACACTTGGCCAAATAAAACCTATTCCAGTGATGACGAACCTTTTAGAGACCGAGTGCCCAAACTGCAACCCAAAACCCACTTATGCATCGTCGGATGCCGGATAGGTATGGCCCATTGGGTGGGCGTGATTGCGGTGGTAACAGCAGACTGGGTGGGACTAAAAAGTTCAATCAATCAATTCCAATTTCGCAAGATCTTTTTTTTTCCCTGCAAGAAGTTGAAATTGACTGGTTGATTGAACCTTTTTTTGTGTGTACACGGCAGTAGAGGCCTAAAGCGAAAAGATTTTGTCAGAATCCAATTATATATTTCATCTCTAGTTATCGACTATGGAAAACCCCATTTCTGTCCTCTCTGGATTCTGTCATACTACGAAGGGGAAGGGGGATGAGCAAAGGGGTTTTATGGCTCTCACTTCCTTCATTACAACTTCAAAGGGACTGAATGTGGATACCACCAAAAGGACTGACCATAACAATAGGGCCCATCAGCTTTCATCTACTCCTCTCTAAAGTCTCCCTTCCGCCGGCCGTGAGGAAAAGGGAGTGGAAATGTAACGCTTGGGATGGTCGCTGGAAAGATGGTGGGGGGGGGGGGGTGGCTGCTTGGGAACACTTAAAACCTTGAATGGTCGGGATGGCCCTCAAGTCCTGTCTAGAATGCCTGCAACCATTTTCTCTTAATAAAGATGCCTGTTGGAAGAAATATTCCAAGAGTTCTGTCTTCTTAAGATGCAAAGTGGGATGGGTCCTTACAGGTTTTATAAAACCCAGCTGAAGGCTTAGGAGTGCCATAGGCTCGCCACCACTGACCTATTCTGTTCTGTTCTGTTCTGCATTCCATTCCATTCTATTCTGTTCTGCATTACATTCTATTCTATTCTTCTGTTCTGTAATAGAAAATAATAAACTTAACCAAGAAAAAGATGTATACAAAATATTTTGAATATATTCTAAATGTTTATTCACATGGGGTCAAAAAAGTCAAGATAGCAACCATGGCTGGGTAATTAAAACTCTGCCCGTTAATCAGAGTTGCTATCTTAGTTTTACTGACCCCACAGCAGAGGCCCCATTGATCGTTCCATTGTTCTAAACAATGTGATGTCATTCCTGTGGGTTGAATAAAAATCAACAATAAACGTATCAAGTATAAGATTATTTTCTAAAGAGAATTTGTTCAGACCTCAGTCTTTCCAACACATTGGGTTTAAAACAATTCCAGCAGTAATACGTACTATGGCAGCACTGTTGTTTGTGAGTAAACGCATATCTCTGGCACTGCTGTAACGGATGTAGTTCCCAAGATACATCGCAAGCCAATTGGACTTCTCTGGATTGCTGGCATTGTAGCATCGGGGTCTGCTTTTGCTTGCTGTATGAAAGATAATTTTAGTTGCTTTTAAAGAAGCCTAGTTCCAGACATTGGTCTCTTCAATAGATTTTTATCCTGACTTTTATTTTACAGTTTTGTAAGTATTTTAAAGCACTTGCATTTTTTAAAAAACCCCAGAAAATGCTATAAACAAACTAGCTAATATTAACACAATCCTTAGAATGAGGAGTTAGCAATGTTATGGGATCAAGACAGGTGGCAATTACTGGTATCTTTCTCTTTCTGATTGTTCCTGGCAGAAAACCAGCAGGACAGGTCTGTGGTCAGCTCAACTCCAAGATCTGAGATCAAGACAGATGTGCCACACTGTCATAGTTGCACATAAATAAGGGATTTCTACTACACTAAGCACTTTGATTTTGATTTGATATTTGATTTTTTCTTCCTACTTTAGACTTATGAGGGGAACTTTATGTGCATAAGTTTCAATAGACATTTTTTACATGAGGGCTCCAGCTTAGGTGGACATCTGCTTTTATAAGCCAATCTATTTCAAGCTGCATTTAAGATTTGTAGAGACTTAATGAACCTCATTCTGATGTGAAGGTCCTTGTGCCATGTTCTGATCTGAGAAGGTGTTACATGTTTGCCATGTATAGTTAGAGGTAGGGACTGTAAATGGAAACAGAAAGAGAACTTCTCCCGTGGTCTGAATGCTTACCAGTCAAATAAGCTTTGATGGAAAAGTACATTTTTTCTTCCTTGTCTTTGAACATCACAATATTTTCATTCAGTTTGTTCACTCTGCAGAAAAAGAGGTATGGAGTAAATATTGGCCATTAGACAGAAAGAAATAACTCAGAGAAGCAGACTTCTTTCTTGCAAACTCATTAGCTTTACTACTTGACCACTACTTAGCCAAAGTATTAGATAAACACATAAAAAAAACCCAATTCTTTGCTTCAGAATATTCAAAATCTTATTGGCTGTAATATAAGTTGCAACAAGCAGAACATAAATAAAATGTTGAATTGAAGACATTAGAAAAGAAACATCATTGAATGTATCAATGATGGGAACGAAAACTGACAATATTTTCAGAACCCTCGTTTTTATTACTTCCTTATATTCTCTGTGTTTAAACTGTTCGGGTTCTGCCATTCTCCTAGGGGGGAAGGGAGTGACTAGGGGGCTTTGTAGTACAGGTAGAACATTTCCTCTATCTGCTTTGATGTATCCTCTTTGGGGTGTGAATGGAATGCCTCGGGCCATCTGTCTTATCTCAGTGCGGAGGGAGGAAACAAGCAAAGACCTAACAACCTTGAGAGAGGCACTTTATTGTTTCGTTTCCCACAGCTCGTTGTCACCTATGGATTGGCCTGTTTGAACCGACAATGGACAGTTGGGGTGGGGTTACCACTGTGCCGGTTTTACCTATTGTTTCAGGTGGGAAAGCCCTCAGATCCTGCCTAGATTTCCTGCTGTCTATACCTGCCAATAAAAGTTCCTTTTGAAATGATGCAAGTTTCAAGAGTTCTACTTTTTTAGTAGGAAAACGGAGGCAGGTCCTTACAAATACTCTCATCCTAAAATGCTTATAGCAATACCACTTAGACTTATATATCACCCAACAGTGCTTTACCTCCCTCTCAATCTGGATCCTCGTTTTATTGACCTCGGAAGGATGGAAGGCTGAATCAACCTTGAGCTAGTCAGGATCGAACTCCTGGAGTGAGCAGAGAGTTAACTTGCATTACTGCATTCTAACTCCTTCATGGATTACTGCCTTGTCATGGTGAAGGCGCTTGCGTAACTCAATGAAGCTATGAGCTATGCCGTGCAGGGCCACCCAAGACGGACAGGTCATAGCAGAGAGTTCTGACAAAATGTGATCCACTGGAGAAGGAAATGGCAACCCACTCCAGTATCTTTGCCATGAAAACCCCATGGACAGTACCAAAAGGAAAAAAGATATGATGCTAGAACAGTGTTTCTCAACCTTGACAATTTTAAGGCATGTGGACTTCAACTCCCAGAGTTGCTGGCTGTGGAATTCTGGGAGTTGAAGTCCACATGCCTTAAAATTGTCAAGGTTAAGAAACACTGTGCTAGAAGATGAGCCCCTCAGGTCGGAAGGTGTCCAATAAGGGGACAACAAAGAAAGAGGTTGCTGGATGGAGTCACTGAAGCAGTAGGCGTGAGCTTAAATGGACTCCAGAAGATGGTAGAGGACAGGAAGGCCTGGAGGAACGTTGTCCATGGGGTGGCGATGGGTCGGACACGACTTTGCAACTAACAACAATTGCATTCTAACCACTGCGCCACCACCACTATAATTGCTTATAGAAAACAATTATTTTTTTAAAAAAATGATGAGTGGTGTTGTTGAAACACGAGACAGAGTTCTATGCCACCTATTCTGAGTTAGATTTATTTGTTTCACAAAAAGTTGGTCCAGCTCGGACTCAGAATCAGAACTAATTAAAGAATGTATGATTAAATGGGCACAAAATTTTGGTGAACCAGTTCTACTAGATACCTGGGAAACCATCTGGGTGAGGAATGTTAAATTTACACAAGCCCAGAGCATAAGGGAGAATTTTTACAAAATGTTTTACAGATGGCACCTTGATCCACAAAAAATGTCTCGTATGTATCCTGACTTACAGCCTAAATGTTGGAGATGTGGTTGTTTGGATGCTACTTATTATCATATTTGGTGGTCGTGTAAAAATATAAAAGTTTTTTGGATTAAGATATGGTGGAATATTCAAAGAATTTTTAGAAAGAGGGTAAAATTTACCCCACAATTGTTTTTGTTAGGTATTGTTACTGATTGTGAGGCTAAGGAAGTTATGTTGATGTTAAATTTGATTACGGCCGCTAGGCTGTTAGTAGGGCAATATTGGAAGAAGGAATCTTTGCCTACCTTGCAAGAATGGTTTTTTAAAGTTTCTTATTTGGCGGAAATGGCAAAGATTTCAGCTTTCTTAAAGGAGCAATCGCAAGAGAAATTCTTTGCGGTATGGGAAAAATGGATAAATTTTACACAATATAAATTGGATATAAAAAATACCATTTAGCTTTCTAATAACTTGTATATAAATTTTAATATTTTATAGATTGTACTTTTTTTATATCTCTTTTCTTCTTTCTCTTTTTTTTCTTTTTTATTATCTTTTTTTCTTTCAAGTACTTTTTCCTTTTAATACGTATGCTTTTTTTACATATATTTTATTGTTAATTACTTTATAAATTGTTTATGTAAGGTATTTAGATATATTTATGATTTATATTTTTTCAATTTTTTTAAGATTCTTAAAAATTTTAATTAAGCCTATACTCAGCTCTGGGAAGATCGGGGGGGATGGAGAAGGAGGGTTGGGGTGGGTGGGTGAGGGTTGGTTTTTTTGGGTTTTTTTTGCTTTTTGTAAAAATATCTAAAAATTTTCAATAAAAAAAAAAAGTTGGTCCAGCTCTGGCTCCTCCACCCCTAATTCTCATTAGTTTTATACTGCAGTGTTGTCTATATCTGGAGAGTTCCAAACTGAGGTAGAACTCCATGTCAGCATACTGATATGGCCACATACTTACATTTTTTGGAATGTCTCACAGCTGGTGTTCAAGGTCTCACTAGCATTCAATATATCACCATTAAGAAACATGAAGGAATGAGCCAAGCGGCTATCAAGCCACAAGGACACCTCTGTCTCTTTGCTGCTAGAAACCACGCTGGGCCACACTCCGGCCAAAAGAGCTGTCTTGGTGCTGTTTGGAAGAATGTTCTGCAAGAAGAAAGCCATAGAACTAAGTTATTTTAAAAATAAATTCGCCCCTTGCATCCTTCCCTCCCCTCCCTTTCAGGAAAGCCATAGAACTAAGTTATGAGTGCCAGAAATCTAACCAGGGATGAGAACAATCAAAAAACAACAATGCACAGGTACACCTTGTGTGCCAATTATGCCCTTTCCTTGACCAGGAGGACTTGCAGGCATGCAAGCATTTCAGATACCCTTGAATCATCTGGAACAGTGTTTCTCAACCACAGCAACTTTAAGACATCTGGAGTGGACTTCAATTCTCAGTCTGCACTGAGGTTGCGAAACACAGTTATGGAAGTTATAGCTGGTTCAAAATGCAGCAGTGCGAGCAGCAACAGGCACTTCTGTTATGGCAACGTGTCTCGGCTGTGCCATGAGTGCAATTCAAGATGCTGGTACTTACCTTCAAAGGCTTACACAGCATAAGGCCTAGTTACCTGAGAGACTGCCTGTCTTGCCCCTCCCTTTTTGGGGGTACATTTAGCAGGGTGGATCCCTTCTGTTAAAAATTGTCACAGATCTGAGAAAGCACACCTTTTCTGTGGTGGCCCCCAGCATCTTTCCTGGGGTTCCAGAGAGCCCCTAAAGCCTAGGGGTTATCCCCCCCAGGCCGGGGATATTTCAGGAGGGGGATACTTTGTTTTATTGGCTATTTTTAGTTCAGTCTGCCTTTTACAACGTTTTTCTTTAATTGTTTAATTTAGTATTACATTTTGTAAGTTACCCAGAGTCCCTGGAGTGGGCAGCTATATTACATTTAATTAATAATAATGTTTATACTGTACATAATTATTATACTTAAAGTTCACTTTATAATGGTTTGGTAAATAAGCTATAATTGTTTCTTACAATAATATTTTTCTGGTTAAGTCTGTCAAGAAATAACCCAGTTTTATTATAAATCTTTAACATAGCAGTCAAGAAAGGACCATCATCAATGAATCCCTCTCTAGAAAACAAATCAGCCAGATCATCTGCTGGAACTGTATTCACAAGCTGAAAATAAGAAAAAGAATAGAAAATCAGCATCCAAATCAGACTAGAGACTCTTTATTTTATTTTTTTAAAATATTTTTAATTTTTTATTTTTTAAACCAACAAAACAAAACAAAACATAACATAACACACATACACACACAGTACATACTTCTCCCCCTTTTTTAACAGCGATTTCGTAACGGTAATCTTCTATTATTTACATTTCCTTCTTCTTTAAAATATTTGTCCTTGTTGCCCCATTGTTTCTTATTTGCATTTTTCTTCCTTCATACTATACTTCATACTAAGAATAATACATATTATTATTACTATACATTATTATACACACATTTTCCACTTTTGACCTTTCCACATTTATTCTCCTCTATTATTTCTAGTCTCCAACCAGTCATACCACTTGTTCCATATTAGATAGTTTATTATTAGACTCTTTAGCATAGTGAGGTAGCAAGAAGTACTATAGGAAAATAGATAATTGGGAGGGGAGGGGGAATGCAGATCCACGGGTATTGGTTATTTGGTGTTGGCTAATGGGAACATTTTTCATGAGTCATTCCTGCATGAATGATTGAGAGACAGTTTGGTCTAGTGGTTAAGGAATTGGGCTAGAAATCGGGAGACTGTGTCTTCTAGTTCTGGCTGAGGAAAGAAATCCAGCCGGGTGACTTTGGGCCTATCCCTTTCTCTCAGCCCACAACGTCAGGCTTGTTCAACAAGCCAGCTAATCAATTCCTGTCACAACCAACAGATCAACCTCCACACATCTGAAAAAAGCAGGAAAATTATTAGGAAGGAAAAAAAATTCTGCATGAATAATTAGATACAATTTTGATGTCAGTGAATAACAACCGTACCTTTTGTAGGTCAGAGGGGGGAATTAAAGTTTCCAGATCCTTCAGAGTCAGGAAGTCAATAAAACCCTGAAATGTCTCTTCTAGAAACACCCAAAAATTGGTGCTTGAAGCATAGCATCGAAGAGAGGAGGCTGAAGAAGTCAAGGAAGGGAGGACAAAAGACATTCCAATACAAATCAGGTCAGATCTTTCCTATTTGAAATTTTTAAATTTCTCAAGTAAAATCATCATCAGGATGTTTAATATTTGAAATATCAAGCTTGATTCTTCCAAAATTAAAAAAATATATACCCTTACTGAGGATGACAGCAAAGCCTGCATCCCTAGTAATAATCATATTCCCATTTATTTAAAACATTGACACTATTAATTTATGCAAAGTTCCTCTTATGTATTATTTTAACATCATTACAAGAACTTTGTAAAAGATAAGTCAACACTATGAGCTCCATTTGAGGATCCAAGGGCAGAGCGGTGCAGATACGGGGACCTCCTAAGGCATCTAATGAAGTCAGCTGAATGGGGGTCTGGCAAACGTGTCCTTCACCCCTTATAGTCTCTGCTGCTCTGCCCCCTCCATCCAAAATGCAGCACATGAGCCTTTTGCTTGGTACAGCTTAAAGCACTGGGACTGCTAGTTACCTGAGATCACCCTAAGGATGGCTTCATAAATTTTCCGTTGGGTAGCATTGCCAAATTGACCAAGAGAGTCGTTTAACAGAGTTACTCTGTAATACAGAAAAAGTATTATTACTCTCAACCATTCAGAAAGAATGCAAAGTGCTCACAAAGTTCTGATATGCAAGACAGGCAGGCGCAGGTGCCATGAAGGCTCTTGCCTACATAGCCAGCTTAGGGTTGACTGTGTTGTCAGGAAAAAATAAAGAATCCCTCTTAGCCATGAATGTCTTAGGAACGTCAATTGTTTTGCATCTCCTGTACTCTCCAGTCTGTAACATATAACATAATATAATAAAAGATATTTACTAGAACTAGTAAAGTCACATTTTTAATTGGACAGCCTTATAAATCCAGTAGGTAGATATGGTATATATGATATGTGATAGGTATATGATATATGACATATGACATGATGTGACATAGCTATAACAATAATAATTAATACGGCACTTATAAAAATAACAGAATTGAAGAACTTATTGAAATGAAAAAATGTAAATAAGTAATAGAGCTCATACACAACATTGACAGCAGAACAATTTCGGGTCTCCAGATCCTCAAATAAGAGTGGAACAAGTGAACTGTTTATTCCTGAGATCAGTTTTGGGAGGTATTGCATCATCCAGAGCGTCAACTCCACATCATCTGACTTTCGAAGGGTGGGCTGGGCAGCCACCAGCAAGTGCTCCAGGAGGCTGGCTTGGATCTCCTTTGGCAGGCTGACATTGTCCTTGAAAGGAAAAGGATGATCAAGCAGAAAAGTGTGACTGAATTATTTCTCAAGAGAGGTATTAGATGAAAGCAGAAATTAGATGTTGTGGGACTCTCTGATAATCAGATGAGACTTTGACAAAAGCTTTGCAATTATGCGTATGCTTGACATCTATCCAACGATTTCCCTTGATGGATGCACTTCTGTTTCAAGGTACCTGTTCTGTCTGAAACTACCTTAGAATAAAACAGTCACGTCCTGCTAATGAACTCTAATCTCCTTCTCACTGCATCTAGGCCAGGGCTTTTCAACCTTTTCACAGATTGTACCACTTTTAGGACATGATAATATTCAAGTACCACCAATGCTTAGCAAGGTGTCAAAAACCTGATGACTAAAAAAGGGGGGGATTTTGGGCTTTACTGGTTAGATTCATTTGTTGTTATAGAAATGGCTAGTTTATAATATTATGGAAAATTAAAAAGTAAAAAGTTGAGGTTCAATGTTAATGCTTCCTTCTGTCAAACTGCCGGCCTGTGGGCTGGATGCATCATGCCGAAACCGCACCCACCCCATTGCCGGCAATGGGGAAAAAGTCGTGATACATTGCGCAACGTCACATGACGTCGCGAGTTTCACATGCCTGTTCTATTGCAGCAGAGTAAGTCGGAAGTCAACGCCTTTTCTTTTTCCCTTCTCCCCCTCACTTTTCCCTTTTCCTCTCATCCTTTGCTCGCAAAAGCTCCTCACTCGCTCTTTCACTCACTCATACATTGCTCACAAAAGTCTCTCACTCGCTCTCTCCTCACTGCTCCACTAACAAAAGCCTCTTCTCTTCTCTTTCCGTGTGTTTTTTTCTCTCTCCCTCTCCTGCCAAAACCTGCTCCTTTAATAGCTTCTCCTCTTTCCATCCGCCTCCTCCTCCTCCTCTTCTCTTCTGGGTGCACCAGAAGCTCCAACCGGAATGCAGCCGTGCATGCAGATCCTGAGGCTTCTGCTCAGCCCTCTTCCAGGCCTGCGCAGTGCTGCTTTAGCTCATTCCCTCCCCCACTAGGGGTCGCGTACCACCTGCCAGGTGCTAAAGTACCACCGGTTGAAAAGCCCTGATCTAGGCTATAATACTCATTGGAAGAATAACAGAGTTGAAAGGGACTTTGGAGGTCTTCTAGTCCAATCCCCTGCTCAAATAGGAGGCCCTATACCATGATGTAGTCAAATGGGTATCCAATCTCTTCTTGAAAACCTTCAGTGATGGAGCACACATAATGTCTGACGGCAAACTGTTTCACTGATTAATTGTTCTAACTGACAGGAACATCCAATGTTAGCAGCGTTGACATCTAGGTTGAATCTCTCTTTCTTAAACTTCCATCCGTTACTTCTTGCCCTGCCCTCAGGTGGTTTGGAGAATAAAATGAACTTTGTGGCAGCCCCTTAGATATTTAAAGACTGCTATTATGTCACCCCTAATCTGTCTATTCTATTCTATTCATACCCAATTCCTGCAACCTTTCTTCATATATTTTCACTTCCAATCCCCTAATCATTTTTGTTGCTTTTCCCTGTACTCTTTCTAGAGTTTCAACATCTTTTTCATATCATGATGACCAAATATGTAAGAGTTGTAAGGAAGGAAAGATGGGGAATAGATCCACATTTTTTTTTAAAAAAAGGATGTATTTTATACCTGAATCAAGACTCAAAGATGGAAAAGGTAGCTTTCCAATGTGTCCAGAGAAAATGAATGATACATAATTTTAGAAAGTTTACTAAAATCAATGCATGAGATCCATATTATGTGGACTCTAAGTATGATTTTCGGCCAGTCAGTCTCTCTCATCTCAACCTACCTCAGGATTGTTGCTGTAAGAAAATAGGAGGAAGGTGTGTGGAAAATGCTTGTTATTTGTAAAAACAAAAAGGTTACATACACATTAAATAAATAAAGTATATGAAATTATGTAGGTGAATCAAACAATAGTTTGTAGTTCAGTATGTCATGCAAACCTGAAAGATTTGAGGGAATAGCAAAATCAACATAATTAAATGCAGCCTTGATGGTTGCAAACACTTCACAAAATGTAATGCGGCCTGATCTGCTGTCATACCTGTCTGCTGAATTCATTAATGTATTCTGTCAGTGTAGTGGTTGTTATAAGATTCATCACACTCTCAACATCTTTAGATGTCTTCAGAGCTCCATCAGTGGCAGAAAATTGTGCAAGTTGCCTGACTGTTAATTTCTTGAGAACAACCAACTAAAAAGGAAAGTAGGCAAGTCACTGGAAAGGTGAGAACTGCAATAAAACTACAGCTTTTTAATCTATATATTCAAATATTTCAAGTCCATCTTTTTTTTAAAAAATGCTCCCATATTCCAGTTCTTTATTTATAGAGAAACCCTAAACCTATGAAATATTTTCATAACACAACTGATCCACGAATAAGAGAGATCTATATTCAGTAAAGTTCACTTTTAATGAGTTGACCAAGTTTTACATAAAGATTTCACTGAAGATTGAATTCAATGTTGAAAAAGTAATATAGATAATGCACATTTATTCTATGATCTGCAATGCAATCAGCATGGCCAGAGTAGTCCCAAAGGGGCTTTTCAAAAGGCAACTGGATTTTCTTGGTTTTTTTCCTTGAAAATGTTTCGCTTCTCATCCTTGGCCTGGATGATTGAGAAGCTCCACAGACATATGGTCACAGAAAGGATGAGCTGCCATGGAATTTTGCTCCTTCACAAGGTATCTGAAAATTGAAGTGTTCCTATTAATGATAGACAGTACACCTATTTCTTTCTAGACTACTCATAAAAGAAGCCAACCTATTTCCATTTTGATTTCCAATGGAAATAGAGCAAAATAACTCATAGAAAGAAAGACAAAATCCCTTCCTGTTTTTTATGCAGGTGGAGGGATGATCTCCTGCAATGGAAATTAGAAGGTAGAGAATGAAAAGTAGAATAAATATTATTAGCTTCACCAGTTCTTGAAATAGCACCCACTAGCTTCCTGGTGGGAATAACAATGAAAAGGTTTTGTTGATCAGCTTTTTTTTCTCCTTATTTTTCACTTTTTTAAAAGGTACATGCATGTCTATTTATTCTAAACCAGATCGTCTGTCCTTTTGTCTACCCTTTCCTCCAAACCCACAATCTGTTGCTCATGTTCATGTGATGATTACCTTTGGCTTCTATGCTTTTTTCCCAGTGGGACATAATGCATTCATTCATACAACAGAGGCCAAATTATCACATTGTGCTAAACCATTTTGTTTTGTTTTGGAAGAAAAACATAGAAAAATATGCAAACAACATTTGGGTTTGTAAATTATAGCATACTGCTTAAAAGAAGAAGAAAATTAGCCATAGTACTTAGCTCAGTAAGCCATAGCAGAAGCATATCTGAACTCACATGCTACATATTTGTGTTCTTTTATAAGAGAACCAAAGGATCTTTAATAAAGATGCGTTGAAAAAATGTTCATGCAACATGTTCAGAAAATAATATAAGAAGAGAGTGAGTCAAAGATAGGATGTTTGTTGTGGTGTTCCAAAGTTAGAATACATGGGTAGGAGCAGTGCAATAATGCAGTGTCCGCACAGATGCCCAGGACCAGCAAATGCTCAGGACTGACCAGTATCAGTAAATTTAGGAACAATCCTTCTCGGATATATAATTATGTCATAACTTAGGTAGTGCCTAAGGCAATCCTTTTTTCAGTCCTAAATCTGCCTTGATCAGAACCGGAGGGGATACTGAAAGGGAGAGAAGGAGAGGGCAATAATTGAAGTAATTCTATACATGTATATTTTTTCTTCCTCAGGGAAAGATTGAAGGCAAACGAGGTCCAGGCAGAAGAAGAACATCGTGGCTTCAAAATCTAAGGGACTGGTTTGGACAAAACTCTGCAGCACTTTTTCGTGCAGCTGCTGATAAAAACAGGATCGCCAACATGATCGCCAACGTCCAATAATGGATATGGCTCAAGAAGAAGAATATTTTTCTGAGGTTAATTCTAGTCTGAGTACATTTGGGACAGTCATATCTGGTAGTTAATGTGTAATTTTTAATGTACTAATGTAGTTAAGAATTGCTATTCTAATTTCTCATTGAAATCCAGGGTGCTTCGGAGGCAGTGTGGGAAATTGAAACAACAGATTCAACCAGTTGGTGCTTTTCAGAACATTGGACAAGTAAACCAGATGAGAGTCTAATACAGGCACTAGTCCTGTAGAAGAACAGGTTCAGCCATATGAGGTAATGGGTTCCAGTAATGACCCAAAGAAGGACTGATAAGGGGTTGTTTTTCTTATTCAACCAACAAACAACCCATGTTCTACTAATGTGGATCGAATATAATGTTCATAATGAACTGTTCCCTGAGTTCATGGTGGGAATCTTTGATGCTGGTCCTCAGCAACTGATTAACTTTGCCTGATTTAGAAAGATAAGGAGAGTTGGTTGATCTGTCCTTGGAAAGGAAACCAACAGGAAAGAGCTATAGGTTGTTGAAAAAACAGCAATGTCAAACTCTCCATGTCATGCCATAAAAATGGCACCAGCGGATTTGAAAGAAATTCTGATTTATCTTGAGACTGGAAGAAATGTTCTATCATTGTTCCTTGTGAATTTGTTTTTTGTCTTCTTATCATCAGAGCCCTGGCCATAAAAATTTCTCCTATTTGGTAAACTACAATCAATCTCCTCCTACAAAAAACTGAGACATTCTGGGTCTGATCCTAAATGCATTCTATTATGCTGCAGTCCCTTGCAATCTCCAAGAAATAGCAACTAATGGAACACATCACATTTCAGATTGCTGGAGGCCATAGCCAAACTAAATAGGTTTTCCTATACCCTGAACATCATCAGATCTACCAAGTAAGGAGTAATTTTTCTAAGAACAAATGAGAATTGTCAGATGAGACTAAGAAAGTTCCATGAAATTCAGCTTCTTTCACCCAGATTCCTGTGGGAAACTCCTAGGTAACTCTCCTGTCCCCCTCCATCAGCAACTGCTCTTTAGAAATAATGCACCTCTAAGCTCAGAGACCATTTGCAGATAGATCAGGTCATTATTTTGTTTAATTCTCTTCCCTACAAACATTATTTTCAATACATCTTTATTACAGATCTTTTATTTGTCTTATAAAATAACACAATAATATTAAATAAACATCTATAAATATCACCAAAAAGCAATGCAATAACATGCAAAAGCAAGGAAATGTTTGGTACAAATGAAAGCTGATCCAATACAGTTAAGATTTAGAAAACTTAACTAGCCAAGAAGTATTTAGTAGCCCTCCCTGAATCAATTACTTACACCACTGAACCTGGAATTCAGAGAAAGAAACTCTTCATACTTGGCATATTGACTGAAACGTGCAAAATTCACCAATAGCCATGAGGTGCTGTTGAGATCCTTTGTGCAAGCTGATCCTGCAGTTAAACAGTTGGGAATAAGGTTAGGCTCATAAACAAGAAGCTCTAAAAGAACTAGAATGGTGTGGAAATACAAAGTCTTGGGTTTTAAAGATCTCTGTACCAGCTTTTCCAACTGAATACTTTCTTCCCTTTCTCTGTCCCTTTTCCCTTCTCCTGAATGTTATTCTTCCCTTTTTATTATATTATTATAAATCTTGAGACCCTGTACTATTTCAATATGGTGATGTTTGTAAGCTACGATTAGTGGTTATTAACATTCTATTATTAAGATAGCTTAATATGCTGAAAAGAAAAAAATGTATCAATATTGATTATAACTTGGGATGATAATATTACAAACATAAAATTATTTGGATTTTTTTTTCATCCAAAGGTAAATATAACTGCTGCAATTCACATCAAAGTATTAGTTATATGATAATGGTTTCAATCTTAAGTTAACAACCTAATGTTAAATTCTCCGCTATTGTTATTATATATTAAAAGGGGATGTCAGAACCCCTTTTCCCTCTTTTACCTATTCCCTTCTTCCCTTTTTTGGGTTCTGCCATTCTATTGGGGGGAGGGGGCCTATGGGTATTGTACAGTGTATTTCCTTTGCTTTGTTTTTTCCTCTTTGAAATATCTCTTTCTCGGGTTGAGAATGGAATGCGCCTCTGGCCATCTGCCATATCTCCAGGTGGAGGGAAGAAGCCACGGAGAGACCTGTCAACCTTGAGAGCGGCACCTTATCAATTCTTTCCCACAACTATTTGACACCTTTGGATTGGTTCTGTTTGAATCAGCCAGATGGACAATTGGAATGGGGTTTGGATTTCTACTTTGAATTTACTGTTCCGTATGGGAAAACCTCAGATCCTGCCTTACATTCCTGTTGTCAATACCTCCCAATAAAAGTTCCAGTTGAAATGATGCAATTTTCAAGAGTTCTGCTTTCTTGTGAGGTTTAACTGAGGCAGGTCCTTACGGGAGGAGGGGGAAGGGGAGATAAAGGAAGCAAATTTAACAAAAGTTAAAATACCTAAAAGGCAAAAACTATTTTCAAATTTATTGCTCAGAAATTCAGTTACTCCAAAGTCAACATAGGTTACTGAGGATGGGGTTCTGTTTGCAGTCCAACAATTTAGAGGGCATGAAGTTGGGGAGCTCATCAGCCCATTCATTTCATGGAATATTTTAAACAACAATAGCTGAGTTTGCATCAATTTGGCAGTTTGTGGCTTAGTGAGTTGTGTGAACTCAAATTTCCTTAGTATGATGTATTAGGGTAGAGCACATTATATCAATGGGTTTGACTAAACTGATTTAAACATTTTGAGGGAACCCAGCCAGCGTATGGCAAGCCTGGGTGGTTATGCTTATTCTATGGAGGTATCCAAAGGGGCAGAATGAGGTAGCTATAAAATAAAGCAAAATGGTATTGTTGAAGCCCCACTTGTAAAAAGGGTGGTGTTCGATTACATTGTCCCTCCTGCCCCATCCAAAATGCTCCAGATGACCAATTAGCAGGAGGACCGAGGCTTCCCTGCACTCCACGTGGTCTATCAGGAAATTCTATGGGAAGAGGAGGGGAAAAAATGGATTTCCATCAAATTAGAGTAATATTGATGAAAGGAGTGACTTTCCCATCAGACTTTATGTTGTAAGCCACCCAGAGACGTTGGATACAAGATGGGAAGCAAACAAATTTTATAATTAAATAAATATTAAATAAATGTTATTGCAAGCATTCTAGAGGTCCTGGTAAGATTGTTTTTCATTGTACATGCCAATTGTTTCATCTTTTTACTTAGTTTTCCCCTCACCAGGAAAAGGAAGATAGATTATATTAACTTGCAATTGCCCAACATTATAAAACTGTAAAAAAATTCTTTGATCATTTGGCCCACCCTAGTGACTACATTGTGGTGTATTTCAGATAAGCCACCAAGAGCCACACTAGACATATACAATTGTTCTCTTACCACTAGCATTCAATCCCCTTAAATAGGGAAGTTGGAACGAGTGGAAAACTTCATACTGGATGTGAGGGTTCATCTTCATAAATTCTGCATCTAATCCTTTAACACTGAGAAACAGAAGTATGTTTTGCAAAAGAGAAAGGATAGATAGGAAGATGAAGACCAGGATAAAGAGGAAGAAAAAAAAATCTTCTGCGGCAAAGTTAAACATTCACTGTTTTGTAGGACTAACCTACTCCAATCTGGAGTCCTTCAGATGTCATCTGTGGCCTTCCCCCAACTTGATGCAGCCATGTTGGCTGGGAATTCTGGGAGCCACACTCCCAAAATATCCTGAGGGCACCAGCTTGGAGAAGCTTGAGCTAAGGTGTCCACCTTACTTTTAAAGAGAAATGCCTAGCCATTTTAAATTAGACTCTAAATTCTCCAAAATGGGAGGGGGGGATGAAGTCTTTAAGCACCAAAATAAACCAGTCTCCTTGCAGTTTTGCTCCTCTCTGGACCCACGGAAAATCAACTTGTTCAAGTTCCAAACAAATCTTAGCAGCCCTCCGAATTAGAAGAGCTAGCAAAGGATAAAGCTTCTTTCTTACTGCAGGATCATTCCTCTCTGCATTGGAAGAAAGAGCAAGAGAACAATTTCAACAATAACAATAATAATATAATGAAAAACCACTGGATCATTTATACTTGTTAGAAAATTAATATGATAGTTGTCAGTTCTACTACCAGAAACAGGTAGTACCTTATATATCTAAAACAAAGGTTGATCAAATCAGGGCAAAGCAGCTATTTTATAGGTCATCTATAACTTGCAGCAAAGACACCTATGAGCTATTGGGTGGGCAACGGCTGAGTTAGAGGTCCCAGAGGAGATGTTTTTATTATCTTATTTAATACTCTCCCTAATATCCCCCTCTGTTTATAGAGTATACATAACAAAATACAGAATTCAAATGAGAGAAGCATTATTGCTAATTTCTGAATGCTTGATTTTGCAGGATCATCTCTTAATACGATTCTTATTAAACAGTCTTGATAGTAAGGGATAGAAAGATCACTTGAAGATGTTCTGGAGAATACCACAAAAATATTCAGCAAAGATTAAAGCCTAGCTTCATGACCTTGAGTGAGGGTTTCAGATATGTGAATTCCAATTCTCAGAATTCCCCAACAAGCGCGGTAATATCTGGAAGTTCTCAAAATTAAGAAACTCTTTACTAAATGGATAAAGGAGACAAATGGACATATGGCCTGAACTCCAAGTTGCTATGAAAACTACTGCACCCACATGTGTAATTCAACAATATCTTTGTATAGTTGGAAAGTCAATGCTGAGGCTAAAATGAAACATTTGCATATTCTCCAAAGCGCCTGAAGGCAGGACAAGAAGCAATGGATGAGAACTAATCAAGGAGAGAAGCAACCTAGAACTAAGGAGAAACTTCCTGACAGTTAGAACAATTAACCAGTGGAACAACCTGCCTCCAGAAGCGGTGAATGCTCCAACACTGGAGGTTGTTGGAGGTTGTTTAAGAAGAGACTGGACAGCCATTTGTCTGAAATGGTATAGGGTTTCCTGCCTGAGCAGGAAGTTGGACTAGATGACCTCCAAGGTCCCTTCCAACTTTACTACTATTACACTATCATTATTAAATATGTCTATACACCTAATATTCAGTCAACTATTTGCAGGGGGTTGGACTAGATGACCTCCAAGGTCCCTTCCAACATCATCATCATTATCATCATCATCATCATCATCTTCATCATTATTATTATTATTATTATTAAATATTTCTATATACCTAATATTCAGGTATATTCAATCTTCAAAATAATTGAAGATTGCGTATTGACAGTATTCCTCTCTGGTAGACATACTAGCAGGGTGTTATGCAATCCCAGGAATAACACTGCAAAATGCAGTCAAGACTGAAGAAAAAGTTAATAGTCCTATCACATACATCGCCTGGTACTGCTCACACTGCATTGTCTCATTGTGAAGACACTGGAGTATCTCTGGTGAAATTGCCGAGATAAAAGGGCGAAGTCTTTTCTGGAACCAGGACGTTACAAAGGTGGTCTCATTGAAGCGCTCTTCATTTCTTAGCGTCTCATCCCACAAAGCTCGCATTATGGCAGCTTTCGCTTGATTGGAAATTAGGGATGAGTTCACAGTCTGGGGAGGAGACATGAGAGTTGCAGAGAAATTGAAGCCCGAGGGAAAAATGGAACAAGCAGCACACACACTGGTGGGGACAGAGGTGTTAGTGAATAGTGAACTCAGAGAACATTGTGAATAGTTTAAGATCCCAAACATCAGGCCTTCCTCCCAGCCACGATAAAAGTGCCTTGAGGCAGTCACAAATCTGCCAGCACGTCTTACCAAGCCAGTTCTGTCTCACTCAGGGGCCAGTGCTGTCCCCACACATCTAATGTGGGACAACTTTAGGAAAGCAACTGCTTTGTGTCACCCGCCAGAAAAAAAATCCCTGCCAACTGTTGTCCTTGAAAGAGAAGATACGATAGTGGATGCATACTACATGGGTGTGACTCCCAGAAGGTGCCCACAAATCAGGTGGAGCAGCTCATCTATGAGTGGGGCACTGCTCAGTTAACCCGCCTAACTATCTGTTAAGTGTTACCTGCTGGATAAAGAACATTCAGCTTATTCCAACTTTTGGAAGATCCCTGGGCAAATGGTCATAAAGACTGCCAGAGAAGTAGGGAAGGCAGTTCTTTAGCCATAAGTTCTCTAAATTCTCCCCACATCATGACAATCCCCATAAGAGGTGACATGAGAGGGAAGTAAGATAAATAGAAGGGAAATAATTAAATTAACACCTGCCTTTCACCTTTTCCTTCTCATTTCTCCTACAAGCCTGAAAAACAAGTGGCAGTCATGGGGTTCACAATTTGGCAGTTAGAGTAGGCAGGTGTGTAGCCCAGGTTGTGAGAAGCTATGGAAGAAAGCCTGGGATCAGAAGCTTGGCTTATCTGAGAAGCAGCAGCACAGTGGTGGCCCCCTTTATTTGCCCCTTGCAGTAGACACATGGGACTGTCTACCCCAGGGGTCCCCAACCCCCAGTCCATGGACCAGCACCAGTCCACAGCATATCAACAAGCGGGCCGCACAAACAAACAAAGCTCCATCCTCAGGATGCAAGCAGTATTCAAAACCACACCCCTCTGGTCCACGGAAAAATCTTTCTCCATGGCACCAGTCCCAGGTGTCCAAAAGGTTGGGGACCTCTGGTCTTCCCCACAGGCCAGCAGACCCATCTGAAATATTCCAGCAGAAATATCAGAGGGTGAGGAATAAATGTAAAGATGAAGCCAATAAAAAAAACACCTTGCCAAGCTTTCTGAACCTCCCAGGTTGTGTTGGAAGAAAACTCTTCTTACACTTAGGCTGTCCTCACTTCCATAAAGCACAGGGAGCTTTACCCATCATTCACTAGTAAACTCACAAACTCTTCCCTAACAGCAGAGCATGATCTGGGAAGCCAAATTTGGCTCAGTGTCAAGAAATAAGGAGGTAGGCATTTATCATTATTGGGCATAATTTCTGTAATCAATTTTTTTTACCAAAGATGCTTTTCCTGTTTCAAACATTACAAATACTTGCAACTGACCTTCCGCTTAAGCAATGGCAGAGAGATATTTCAAAGTTTATATGGCAGGGGAAAAAAACCGAGAATTAGATATAAATTATTGCAAGATGCTAAGGAAAGAGGGGGTTTGGTTTTACCCAATTTGAAATTGTAGTTTGATGCTTGTTGTTTGGCTTGGCTAAAAGAATGGGTGAACCTTCAGAATAAGAGGTTACTGGACCTAAAAGGCCATGAACTAAGGTTTGGTTGGCATGGTTATTTGTGATATGACAAAATTAAAGTAAATGTTGATTTTAACAATCATTTTACTAAGTATGCCATTTTGAGAGTTTGGGACAAATACAAAACAAGGTTCTCCACAAAGGTACCACTTTGGGTTTCCCCACAAGAAGCCTTTTTTAGAAAAGAGATGGCGATGAGGCTGAATTGGTGGACCTATGGTAAAATAATATCTTTTAACTTGGGCGAGCCTACCCTGAAATCTTAAGAGGAATTAGAATCAGGAGGTCATGTCTGCCATTAGTTTACATACATGCAATTGAGAGAAAGATTTAAATTAGATTAAAAAAATGACGGGTTTAGTTTTGTTAAAAATGAATTAGAAATCCTACTGTATGGTAGTGATGAACATATTGTTAAAGTTTATAAAATGTTATTGAAGTTAAACCTGGAAAATGAACAAGTAAAACATTGTATGATCCAGTGGGCAAGGAATTTTGGGTATAATACAATGCTTGAACAATGGGAGAATATGTGGAATAAAGTATTAAAATTTACATTAAATTATAATTTAAAAGAATTTTTTTATAAAATGATGTACCATTGGTATTTAACACCAGATAAGTTACCAAAAATGTATAAAAGCATTTCAAATGAATGTTGGAAATATAAATGTAAAGAGGGGACTTTTTATCATTTATGGTGGATGTGTGACAAAGCAAGAAAATATTGGAGCAGGATTCATTCGTTAATACAGAAAATTCTTAAAATGAATATTTTCTTTTGGGGCTATTGGACAAAGACCTGGGAAAAAAATATGGAACCTTGATGTTATTTATGTTGAGAGCAGCAAGAGTACTCTACGCTCAGAGATGGAAGACCACATCGACTCCCACAGTGGAGGAATAGCTTCAAAAACTGATGGAGCTAGCAGAGATGGCTAATCTGATTATTCTGATTAAAGAAAAGAACACGAATACTTTTATTACTACGTGGAAACCACTTCTGGACTTTGTGCTTGATGGGAAAAAATGAAACTTTGATTTTGGGTTTTACTGATTAGATAGATTTGATGTTATTGAAATGGCTAGTTTATATTATTTTGTAAAAGTAAAACCTTGAGGTCTGATGTTGAAATTCTATTTTACTGCACCAAAGGAAGTCGGAAGTCAATGCCTTTTTTCCTTCCCTCACTTTTCTATTCCCTTTTCCCTTCCCTATCTTTTCCGCTATTTGCTTTTGCATTTTCATTATATTGTATATTATAAACTAATAAAAACATGCAAAAAAAAAAAGAAATAAGGAGGTAGGATACAGAATCTTGGGAAAGAAATAACTCCCGCTCTCATTTATGAGTGAATTCTGGGAGTTGCCTGAACTCCCTTTCTCTGACTCCAGAGCTAAAGGACTAACTGCCCTTTCCCCAAATAAGCCTGATACTGAAACATGCATCTGCTTTACATTTGCAGTTTTCAGATAGTCCATTTTCTTTTCTTATACACAGTAAACTAAGTATTCACTGTATTCACATTATTCAATTCTTTTTGTATGGCAGAGAAAATTATTTTGGTTGAGAATTATGTGAACTGTAATCCAACATTATCTGGAGAGTATCAAGAATAAAGCTTATCAGTCAACTAAGAATTTAACCAAACAGTAGTTCCATATATTAGATGCCTAGAAATGGTAGTCCTATCTTTTCCCTTTCCCTTCTCTTTTCCTTTTCTTTTTTGTGCCTTCACGTCCATACTGATTCCTGGAAACTGCCTGGACAAGTCCTGCAGTTTTCTGGTTTTTTGGGTGTGGGTTGCCATGGTTTCCTTCGTAGGACTGAATGACTGGTCCAGGGTCATCCAATTGGCTTCATCCCTAAAGTGGACTGGAGCTCATGGTCTCCAAGGTTCTAGCCACAACCCAAACTGGCTGTCTCCGATTAAACCATAAGTAATAATCACATATTGTGACAATGCAAGCATTGTATCTTTACTTGATTTAGTTATAAATACAGAGCAAGAGTACTTCATCAATCACAAGACAGCAATTATTTCCTTTTTAACAGGGTTTTTTTTTTACCTTTTTGTTAAATTCCTCCAGTGCATTGATCAGCTCTTCCCCATTCACTTGATTTAGAAGGGCTCTGACTATATTTAGTGGAAGCTCATATTTTTTCCTCAGGGTGAATTCCAAGGCTTGAATTATAAAGGTACTGTTAACATGACTGAGATTCTGAAGCTAGGGAGAGAGAATTTAAGTAGTATTAGTATTGGTGTCCAAAGGCAGCTTAAAAATGACACAGTAACAGCAAATTGGCAGGGAATTAGACACAAAAGCCAACTTTTTACTCTAGCTGTCTGTCAAGATATTGATGGATTAACAGATGTCCTTTTCCTTTTCTGAAATCTACATGAATAAAGTTGGACAGACTTTTTCCTAAAGCAGGGGTCCCCAACCCCTGGGCTGCGGTCCACAATCAGGCTGTGGCCTGTTCAAAACAAGGCTGTGGGAAAAATGCAAGCATGCACACTTGAAGCTCTACTCGCACAAGCAGTGGGCAAGCCCGAGCACGAAGCTCCACTCACACAACTGCCTGCCACTTGAGTGAAGGATCTGCCTGCCACTTGAGTGAAGGACAAGTATCCTCAGCTCCTGTGCAAAGCTCCATTTGAGCAAGTGGAGAGTGCGCATACGTGCCTCTCGCACAAATGGAGCTGTGCGCATGCACATGTGCCTGCCACTCACACAACACCCCCCCACACACACACCAGGCCACCAAGCTGGAAAAATTGGGGACTGCTGTCCTAATGGAATCCCTCCAGCCAATGAAGTGGCAATTCTATTTTTACTTCTGGCTTGGATTGATTTTAGCCACTGGCTGTGTATAGGACTGACATCTTCATCTTGCAATGCACATGAAAAAGGAGCCAAGTTTTGACTGCACAGTCATGACTGCCATTTTGACTTTCTTAAGCCATCTACCACCAAATCACTAAAGTAGTGAGAAAATACCAAATTCAAAACAACTAGACTCCTTATGACTTGGACTCGAGACACTCTATTCTAAATCTGTATTCTGCAGAGTCCCTCAACTGCCACCCTCCCCCCCGAGGGTTTCTAACAGTAGGCACTGGAGAAGGAGTTGGGCTGGCAAAGTCTGGCATGACCTCTAGCAGCTGATGAAAGACCAGAAACCCATCCTCCAGCACACCCGCCTTACCCCTGGATTGAGAATCTGACAAATCTCGAAAGAGCTTCCTGAAAGCACAATGCTCTCATTAAAATCCTGGACCAACCTTATCTTAATCTATTGCAGTCAGGTTATAAGGCACTTGGAGAACTTACATTGTCACAAATGAGGTGAGTAAGGTTGGCAGATATTTTGACATCAATGCTGTAAGAAAAGGAGAAAAAAGACAGGCACAGAGGGATAATGCCAGAAAAGGCTCCTAAGAATATAGTGAAGGCCATTCTAATTCTACACATCAATAAGGCAGGCCCATTTTTGCAGCAGCTGACATGGTATATTATCCACCCACAGCCTTAAAAATCCCCATCTTGCAAAAAATGTTCATATTTTCCATAGAATCTTAAAGTTTTGATGGGTTCTTTTTTCCATTACTAACTTTGTGTTATCTGATTGTTCCATATCAGATTTAAAAAAATATCATCCCTTTCCATTTTCATACTCCTTTTGGAACCAGTTTCCCTTACATTTTCAGAGATTTTCCACAATCATGTCTTCCTTTATTCAATGGGGATATCATGGCTGTTGACAGGTTTTGTTACCACCAGAAAGGAAGATACAGGGCAGAAAGATGTTCAGATATTCCCCAACGTACTGTAGCTCCTTCCAGATGCATTGAGAGTATAGTCCCACAATGCCCAACCAGTTACAGGATTGCAGATCACGGATTTATTTCATCCTTCATTCTACTATTTCATTTGCAAAAAATCCACTCAAAAATATTGTCTTCCTTGCTGCTAATCCCTTGCTTCCCTACTATGTTCTGTTCTGCAAACTGCCATATTCCTGGCCGCAATTCGAGTTCCCAACTGTTCTTCATTTGATCTATAGAAATCGAGAAACAAATCTTTTGGCAGCATGGCAATAAACACTAATTTTTTGTAGACTAAAATATTGTTCAAAGCTCAGAAACAAAGATTTGTAAAATAGAATGCTAGTCCTGAGTGTGAACAAGGAAATACCCTTTTATGCTAATTTTACTTTTGTTCAGAATCTTCACAGCATCAGGAATTGGTTAACTGGTTTATAAAAATACCTCTCTACATCTTCACAAACTTTGGAAACTGCAAAAATGAAAGTAAGAAAAGAACAAAGAAAAATTAGTAAGCTTCTCCCCAAAAAGGAATACTTGTTAAGTGAATGCCAAATGTTGCAATGTATCACGTACCATTAATCCTGGCAGCTGGACACTAAAATGAAGAAGAGTACAAAAGTGCAATTAATGTTGACTCCTTCAAATTTCAGTGAATTTGCAATCATGATGCGTTTAATGCAAGCTGTGATAAAGAATCATGAACCTGAACTTTTACAAAATAATCTAGCCTTTATTTCTGCAGATTCATAACACTGCCATAAACCTAATACGGGTCTTTACAACTGGCAGGAAAACTATTTATAAAAATAGGAGCCTTGCTTAAATATGTTTGGCATTCATTCTCTACCATTTCTCTTCTTGTTGAGCTGTTTCTTCTTTTGTGATTCACACCTCTGCCAGGAATCTTCAGTAGTAAAGCATCAGGCAGCTAAGTTAATTTTTGCCACTTTTTCATTAAGACAATTACAAAGTAACTCAAAATCTGAAGCCCCCAACTATTTCATGACAGCTTTCTTCCCAGGGCACCCACAGGAAAATAAATCTGCAAGGTGCTGCAGCCAAAGACCAATCACCATGCTCACTCCATTCTCTTGCAAATTGTGACAGCAATTTCAGGACAGCACTTTCACTGTGTCAAAAGGGACAAGCCACTTACAGATGTGCCTTCCACTCTGGCTACGAAGAAAGCTGCAAAAGAAGAGGGAGACCATTAGAAAGGGCCCTTAGCTTTCTTCATCAGACCACCTGGCCACCTGGTTCATCATTCCTCCAACTAGGAAGAGCTTTCAAGTGGACATGTCAGGCAATAAAAATGAGCTCCTCCGCTTCTACCTGTGAACTGCACACTTCTCCCCAAATACATGCGCCCAAACACAGAGGACATCTACTTATGCCATCCCTTCTGTTTGCCAGAAACCTTTTACTTCCATGTGTTATACTACCTACCAGGTGGAGGGGATGGGGGGGCAGGTCAAGAGGGGGATCAATTCTTTTGTGGCTTAAATGTATGAGAAATTCCCAAGAAATGTTGTATTCCATTCATCAGTGAAAAAGCAGTATACACAAGCAAACAAACTACTCCTCTGTAGAGTTTGAAGCTTTGCAAGGAAGGCTGATTAAAAAGGCCTCACAGATTTGAGTTTGTCAGAGAAGTCTGTGGCAGAGCCCCAGCAGTGTGAACAGAAGGGGCCCAACTCAGCCCTGGAGCCTCCAGTTAAAGAGTCGGGAAATTGGCAAGTCGTCCCCAACACAAATAAGGACTTCAAGAGACAAAACTCCTGGCTCCAGTTAGAAGGCTGGGTTAGTGGCATTGCCAATCTTAGCACACCTATAAGGATCTACATTAGGGAAGGCTGATGAGAAATTCTTTGAATAAATGTCCAGAACAGAAAGTCTAAATGGACACAAAGTGAATCAAAAGTCCAACAAAAAACATTCAAATATTCAAATCATTTTGTCATTTGCCTAAGAATTGTCTTAAATTTAAAAGCTTTAGTGAGGAGGAGATTTGGAGAGAATACACAGGCAGCTGTAGATGTGCATCTCAATATCTTCTTCCTGGAAAAATTGCCTTCTTGCAAGAATTTGCAGCAAGTATAACTGCATGAGACAATGGCCAGATATGTTTCAAGGAGATTTAAACATAATGCATTGGCTGCACGTCTACTTCTGGGTGCAATTCAATGTGTTGGTGATGGCAAGTTCTTCATGGCATGGGTCCAGGCTACTTGAGCGATTAGTCATCCCACTGGGATTGGCCTGTCCTATCCATGCCATGCTGCAGTCCCGTCAGCCTGATTATTCTGACTGGGGGGGGGGGTCCAGGAGAAGGGCCTTCTTTGCTGTTGCTCCTGCCCTCTAGAACATCTCTCCCCTCCAGATGTGAGGTAGGCTCCAGCCATCTTATCCTTTTGTAAGGGCCTGAAAGACATGGCTCTGCCACTTGGCCTGGGGCCCCAATGCAGAAGCATCGTAGTGGTTGATTAACAACAGATCCCATCTCCCCCCCACCCTGCCCATCTGGATTGGATTGTAACATTTGTTGGTTTTATGTTTTTAGTGTGTGTATGTATGTATGTATGTATGTATGTATGTATGTATGTATGTATGTATGTATGTCTTTTATTATTGTAAGCCTCCCAGAGTTACCCTGTAGTAAGATGGGCACCCAATAAATTTTATAAATAAATAATAAATAATCTCTGGAAGGGATGAAGCCATGTGGAAGAAGATGCCATAATTTTTATAACAGCTGTTTTGGTGAAATGTGGCCACAATTTACTGGAAATGAGTTAGTGTAGAGGCCCCTGGGAGGAAAAAAAGCAGTGACTTACCTATATAGAGTACAAAAGCTGCAAACAGGAATGAAGGCCGACACATTTGTGCCATGGTAGATCTCATCCAGGAACTGCAAAAAGAAAACAGCCACCAGTTGTGCAGTTTAAAGTTTCTTAAAATGCATCTCAATGTTTCAAAGGGGAACGTTTCAAATGTGCATGTTGTGACCATCTTGATATTTTTTACAATCCCCGTGAACAATACCCTTACAAAACAGTGTGGTGGTTGAGCAACTGCATCAGTGTATCTATTTATGCTTTGGTCATGCTCAGTAATCATTTCGCAAGAGAGTGCTCTCAAAAGTTCAGATTGCCTAGCAAAGTTAAGGTCCCTAATCTGAACCATTGCTCAAGGCAATATAGAAAAGTGAAGCCAACAGGACCTCAAAACAAATAGAGAACAAGCAGAAATCCATCTTTAATAGGCTTTTCTTAAAAAAGCAAACTGTGGACGAATACGTTCACTTCCTGATCCTTTGCCTCTGGTTTAAACAATAAAATGTAGAACCACAAGTAGGCCATATCCAAATATCCTGGTGCAATAATGTCTAGAGGCAAATGTTAAGTTTTGGAAATTTTCTTGAATATATATGGTAAAAATGAGGAATGCCAGTAATGGATTGCCAAAGTCTAAATGGACCATTTGGAAATTCCAAATGTTTTACAATCCAAGTTTTACTATTTTGACTTCATGTCTTAACTAATCTTTTTTTCCCCAGTTCCCATTTTTCAGAATTATTATAACGCAATTGTTACCTGCAATGCTCTGTTGTGCTTTGAGATATTTGATAAAAACGAGACACCTCTCAAAATACACACAAGGGAAGAAAAAATTGGGAAACGGAGAACGGACAAAGGGAAATTGTAGCACCATAAGCAGTAAATACAATCAATGGATCCTTGTAGATAAATGTTTACCTACCTCTGTTCAGGAGTCGATGTCCCTGTGATGAATAATGTTAAAGAACAAGTTTTTGCTAGATTATCCTGAAGGTGGGAGACATCGGAAAGAAAGAGGCGTGGCAGGTATCAGCTTTCCGCAGTTGCTTCAGAAGGAGACTAAATTATGATTGGAGGATGACCATAAGTCCTCTTTTGAATATTCAGGCAACCTCCATGTATCAGTCAAGATAGACATCTCTCATTAAAGGCACTTCCCAATCAGTAGTATTTTTACTTATTTATCATTGGTTCCAAAGTCCACCATTTGGAACATGAAGTCTGTCACATTTTAAAAAGGAAAAGATGAAATGATGAAATTTCTTTCTAAACGTCTTCCTGTCACACCTGCAGTATATTAGTCAGGTGATCAAAGTCATTAGAAAGAGGCGAACAAGCTATAATTTGGGGATACCAAAGCAAGCTTTTAATTTCAGAATCTCTCTTCTGCCTTTTGAAATGAAAATGATGTTGGGGCATTGAATGGATCTTTGCTTTCCTTTGAAGTTGTGGTGTTAATACAGTCAAGTTCCTTTTGAAGAAAACTGTAAATTTTGTGAAGTTTTGTTCAAAAAGCAATCCAAATTCAATCCTCAAGTGACTTAGATAAAGACCCAGCAAAAATATGTCAGGCATTGCTTTGTGGGTGTCATCAGTTTCAAAGGTTTCCTGGGATTCAACTGCCTTGAAGCCAACATTTACTGTACTTAAAAGCAGAATCCTGCTGTGGGGGATTTTGGCCAGTTAAAACAGAGGCCAATAGAAGCAGGAATGTCCACCTTTTTAAGTTCCTAACGATTTTCAGTAATATTTTAGAAGGGAAGGATTAGATGGAATGCATGTGCCTGCAAATTAGAAAAACTCTCCCTTAACTTAATAAGACTGTTTTTTTGGGGGGGAAAAACAGAGAAGGAAAAAGCATTAGCCCCATTTTATTGCATGTCCCAATTGTTTGCCTACACTTGGAAACAGGTAAAACTATCTTAAACCTTGCTAGCCCTTTGATGTCTGTATTCTCTTTGCTTGACTTTCATCTACCTGCTGATAATGAAGATATTCAATAGTTTTGGAGCAGGTTGGCCAGGTTTATCTTGGTTTCAGGGAATTCCAGTCTGGCCAGTATGTCCTCATTCTTGGACGGCCCCTCCTAGAATGCCCTACTGTGCTCTGGGTCATGTTGGCTTCTCTTTGCAGATAGTTAGCTAAAACTGCTTACAGGTAGCCTCAATTTCCTTGAATTTTTCTATAAACCAATAGGGAAATCTATCTACGTGATCATCTACACTACCATATCTCCATACTGGAAGCAAAAGAAAAGGAAAAAAGAGCAACAATTGATTGAATGAAATTGATTTTGAATATGGATTCTGACCACGTATAGGAAATGGCATGAAGCCAATTAAGTGGGAACTGATGCAAGAGGCATCTATCTTTAGATCGTACATACTTTGCAAATATCCAGAACATGAAGTAAAGACGTTAAGAACACTTCCGATGTACTGGAATGCACAGAACACCTGTGGAACTTACTTGGCTGAGGACTACAGATGCCCTGGGCCAAAGCCTTTGTTTCCGACCTCAGGTTTTTTCTCCATCACCATACTGAGGCAAAGTTAGTCAACTAACTTTAGTCCAACCCTGCCAGAAGACACATGGAAAATAACAGATTGATTCATCACAATCCACTAAGCCTGTGTGGAATTAATTTTTTTTCTGGTATTCTATCCTGCTGTAATAGACCATAAAAAAACAAGTAAAACCTCCATGGTACAACATTCATAAAAACAATAAAACAATACCCAAAGTAAAAAAATGTAAGTTAAAAATGGAAAAGCAGCACCCTCTTGCAGCAGTCTCCATCTGAAAGTGTGGGATCAATAGCAGTTCGTTTTACCTAACAGGCAATACTGGTGGGAGGAAGGGATCCTGCAGATATCCAGGAGCAGAGCCATCATGGGCTTATCGGTTAGAACCAGTACCTTAAATTGTACCCAGAAACCAATCAGTAACCAAGAGTCCACAAATTAGAGTAATGGGTTCCCAATGACCCATTTTTCATTTGGGATTTTTCAGTTGTTTATATATCACTTTTAATTTGAATATAATAACTGCCTGAAAGCTCAAGGATGAGTTCACCAGAAATTGGCAGAAGTTTATCATCTTGTGAGATTCTGAGTGATTTTTTTTTAAAAACAAAATGGAGGGGAATGACATTGTCAGAATCCAATTATATTTCATCTTTAATTATCAAACATAGAAACTCCCAATTCTGCCTTCTCTGGATTCTGCCATAAGAGGGAGAAAAGGGGGAGAGCAAAGGGGCTTTATGG